AAAGATAAAAAATAAAATAAATTTTAAAATAAAGAAAAAATAACATAAAATACTTTAAAGATTTATTCTTCTAGCCACTGGGTAAATAAGGTACATACCATCCCTTTAGGATGCCAGAAATGTTTAATTTTGCTGATTGAAAAAAATTACTCAGCACATCATTTCTCTGGATCATTTATTATATAGTGCAGGAAAACATTTAACCTCATTATCCTACAGCCAATGCCACCCACCAATGTGCTGTGCTGTCCAACCTGAAACAGCAAGGTTAATTATGCATCCCTTCAGCTTGCTCCAATTCCCAAAACACAATTTTCTCTGGCTTTTCCCAATCAGTCCCCAAAGAATAACAATAAAAAGAACAGTAAGAGAAATATTTTGTATACACCATGACTTCAAGCAAATTAATGTATCTATAATCTTGGGCTTTCAACTATAAAATGGGGATCTCAACCACATTAAGTGTATGGGAGATGAAGAAAACAGATGTAAAAAAAAAAAAGAAAAAGAAAAGTCAAGTCATACAGGACATGATGCCATACATGAGTAATTCCAGCATCTTGAGAGGTTGAGGCAGATGGACTGCAAATTCAAACCCAGCCCAGGAAACTTAGCAAGACCCAATCTCAAAAAAAGGACAAGGGATGTGCTGGACAATGCAGCTGAGTGCAAAGAGGGATGGCTCATAGGGACAGGGAAGAGACACTCCACCCACTTCCTAGATACTATGTATGCCCTAGCAAATGCCGCTTCCAACATAACCCATTTTTACTACACACACACACACACACAGTGCTCACCTATAATCCTATCACTCTGTGAAGTTGAGACAGGACAACAGTTAAGTTCCGGCCTCACCTGGTCAATTCAACAACTTAGCAAAAACTTGTCTCAAACAACAGAAAGGGTGGGGATGTAGCTCAGTGGAAAGGCCTTGGGTTCAATCCTCAGTATCATGCCTCACTCAACATAAGACATTATAGGTTTGAGGCACACTGTGTGGTCAGCCAAGCATGATGGCATACACCTGTAGTCCACTGCTGTGATTCTGACACCAGCCTGGACTACCTAGCAAGTACAAGGCCAGCCTGAAGCATATGATGAGACTGTATCACACACACAAAATTTTAAGTATAGTTGATGTGGTTAAGATTCAGAAAACCGTACCTTCAAAATACATATTAGTCTCTTGAATGCAAAATTAAATGCCTTATTTTACATGTTCGATAGCCAAAGCTGATGAACAATTTTGTTTGTTTCCACATTATTGCCACTGCAACTGTATTTGCTCTTATTGGTTGTATAACATTAAGCAACTTAAACTTTCTATTTCTCAATCTCCGTCTATAGTTAAGATAAAAATGTCTACCTTTCTCATAGTTTCAAGGATTGTATAAATTAGTGAAAAGCTCTTAAAATACTGCCTACTCTCAAAATTCAACAAATGTACACTATGATTATTTTCCTTAACAACACGCTTCAAATCTGTGATGAGACATAAAGTTGGTCAAAAGTTGTTTTTCCCAAACTTACTCAAATCAACTGTCAAAATCATTCCAAAGCTTTGGAGTATCCCAGGTTTCAGATTAATTTAGTCGCAGAGGTCTTAAATCCTGCCTCCCTCATTTTCTATTTTGCTAATACATCTCTCAAATTTCTCAAGAATAGGAAATAATATATTAACAAGAGAGAGGCAAGCAAACAATCCTTTGAATCAATCATTCTGTTACTGCTAGCACATGCCAAGGACTTAACAAAACACTTTTGAAGGTAGGAACAGATTATTATAGGAGGTAGGAAAGAAGAAAAACAATACTGAATTCTTAGCGAAGACCTTTAATTTTCACAGAGCCCTCCACTTTTAAGCAGTAACACTTAAAAATGACTCGTTTCAAAAAACTCTTCTATACAAAATACCTTTGTCATAGCAGCCCAGAGTATATACAGCCCACAATATCTCCAGCAAAAGAATAAAAAACAGACACAAGCTACTGGATCAAGTTCCAGCTGATGAGTTAACTCTCATTCTAGTACTGAATAATTTCAACATAGCTATGAGATTCGGGATAAACCATTAAGATTTTTCCAAAAAAAAAAAAAAAAAAAGATTTCTAAGCATACTTTTTTAAAAAAACTTGTCTTTTTTAAGGCAATGTCTCTACTCTCATTGCCTAGCCAACATTGAGCTTATCAATAAGCACCTGGCTAAATAAACATTAATCTTAAGTCAATTTGGTGACTATGCTCAATAAGAACTGTAACGTATTTATGCTTTATTGGTGGTTTTAAGTTAAATACATTTATGTACAAAATGATCACCTAACTTTTATACTATCTAATGCTTGGAGATTCAAGTTTTTAAAGATTTAGTTAACTTAATTGCAAGAGTCAACTGACAGTCAAAACTTCCCAAGGGCCAGCCAGAGCTCAGCAGACTAAAATGCCTGCTTAGGCACAGCGCAGCTTCAATCCCAGTCATGCCATGCCATACCTGCCCCCAGGGCGAAAGAGATGGGTGTAGTGGAATGCACCTGCAATTCCCAGAGCTTGGGAGGCTGAAAACAGGAGAATCACTAGAAGTCCAACCTGTGTAGTGAGACCCTGTAAACCCTGTACTAAATAAACAATAAAAATTAAAAAATAGAAAAAACATTCCCAAATGATTCTTACACTTCATACCCTTTCAATCAACAGAGCATTAAGTGATAGTAATGCTCAAAATTAAGCAGTAAGTGAATTGAATGAAATGCTTTCTAAGCCACTAGATTACCTTATAGAATAATTCTGCCCCCAAGTACTTTAATCTCATCAGAGTAACACCCACAACTAAATTTCAGAAACTTTCAACACAGTAAATACATCCTGAACACAATAAGCTATCGTCTAGATAGCTTCTTGAGTACACAAAATAAAAGCAATTTACAATGATTCAACTATCTGTTACAATTTTTAAAAAAAGATGTTTAATTCTCACCGAATTATTTTTAAAGCAGTGAATTACACAGTGAAGCCAGGGGGGATTTTGCCACAAATACTGACAAGCTGACTTAGGTTACTAATCACTTAAAGGTAACTGCTATACAAGTACCAAGCTTCTGAAGTATAACATTTTAAATGTGAACATAGAAGTAAATTTTTGGCTACAGTGAACAAATGGTAACAGGAAGAACTCTACAAGGCAGAAATTAAACAAAACATACCCAGACTTTCCCCTCAAAATATAAAGAACAGTTCCAATTCAAATACACAAAGTTATCCATGTGGATAATATAAACAAACTGGAGAAACCAGGTAATTTACTGCTTAAAACCACAGCTGTTTAAGCTATGTAATTCTCCAGTAAGAATCAGTATCTCCTCACTACCAGCAAGAAAAAACTTTTTCCAACATATCCACCAATGTCAGCCTTCTCTAGTAATGCAAACTTTAAAATATTCCTACTAAAAGAGGACCTGAAGTGGATCCACTAGTCGTCTATCGTGCCCCTCTCTCCCAATTTCTCACGGTCCCTCCTCTCCCATCAGGAAGTAGTAAATCTAGGTTGAGTATATGAATGCAGGTTTGAAAGAGCAAGAGTAAGACACCTCGGGCTCCATCCCACCAATCTGGTATGTCACCCACACAAAGTGGATGTGAAATTTTCTCGTGCCAAAAGATCATCTGACAAAGATCATCTCATCTTTTCAAACCAACTGTGAAAATGGACTGTATTAATAGGCAACATACACAGCACTCACAAATACCTTCATTAACCCTTAAAATTTAAGTAATGATGTAAAATATTCATTTCCTGGTAACTAGAGCAATGAAAAACCTTCAAGTATCTAAAGTGATAGTATCTTTAAATTTATGGTAATAAACTGAATTGAAAAACTAGCGATTCTTGAGGTAGCTCCAAACAGCGCTGTCACTGGAAGCATAAAAGTAGGTTGGGACTTTCAGCCTTACCGCTCAACCTCTAAGGAAGGGAGAGACAAACTGTTCATCAATGCCAAAGGCTCAAACCAACCATAGCAATGGAATCAAGCTTCCACAAAAACAGACGGTTCAGAGAACGTCCAGAGAGCTGAATATATATACAGAGGTTGGGGGGGGGGGAGTCTAAGAGGGCATGTCTTCATCTCTCTCTTACAGAGTATTTATAAGACACTGGCAAGCATAAAGCAGTGTTTCCCTGAGTTCTACAAATACTCAAAGAAGTTAAACCTGAAAAGGGGGTTGTAGGAATCCAGATTTATAGCAGTCATTCAGTGGCCCAAGTAAAAACAACCTGGGGTTTACAAATGGCATCTACAGTATGTGGGGGGGGGGGGGTTTGGAATGGACAGTAACCTTAGGCACTAAACCCTCAAACTCAAAACTGTGGACTGGCATTATCTCCGGGTAACGTAAGAACTGACTGAATTAAAGGACATCCAGCTGGTGTCTGCTGGAACTGACTGCTTGCTTGCTACTGGGAAATTCCTATACTTTTTGAGGTTACAGGTATCTTCTGTGTTGGTGGTTGTGGTATGAAGAGCAAAAAAGTATACTTTTCCAGCAGTGAAAATATCTCAAGTGTTGAAGACTTAGTATATTCTCTCCTAAAACTTTAATTAAAAGCAACTTTAATTCCAGCCAAGTCAATGAAGTTAATTACTTACAAGTTCAAGTAAGCTTACTACTAGGAAAAAAAAACAGAAAACCCATGAAAACTACAATGTCCATATAGACACATAGTTTCAAGAGACATACTCACTCTCAAAGAGATACAATTTAACAGACACTGTCTTCCTTTTCAATAAAACTTCAAAAGGAAATTAGCACCTTTTACCCTATAGCAACACAACTCCTTAGGAGAAATACCTTTCCTTTGTCACTCTAAAGTACAGTCACCCACTAACCTAAAACTAGGCAAGAAGATAAGTGGACTCTAGATACCCATATACAAACACTACTCTCCCCAAAGTGGGGATTCACGTACTACTCAAACATGACGTGCGTGCACAGGTTCTACTCACAGGGGTACGTGGCACTGCTCAGAGTCAGCTTTGGTCAGTTCTTCCTCTTCAATGTCAGACTCCCCTCCAGAGCTACTGTCAGTGATGTCTGAATCAAATGCCTGTTCACTGCACCTCAAATTGGCTATGCCACTAGCAGTAAATCTCTCCAATTCTTCTGAAATTGAATTGCTTTTCAGGAAGTTGCTAAGTCCTTCTGAAGTAGTGGTCTCACTGGCAGCTTTTCTTAAGGCAGCTTCAGCCTTTCGGGTCAGCATCAACTGGCTCCGGGATTTCAAGGATTCCAAGTTTGGCAGTTTGCTCAAAGTCTTCTCCAAAAACCCACCCAGCTGATGCTGTAAATGCCTCTCCACCTGCTTCGCTTGCACAACCTGTAAGCGTTTCTGTAGCCTGCGAGCGCGGCTCTCAATATCTGCTTGCCGCCTCAATAAAGCTGTTATCCTTGTGTCAGAATCTAAAGCACTGGCACGCACGGAAGACACAGGGGACTTTTTATCCTCTAACTGGACACTCCCCGAGTTAGGGCTGCAGTCAGTACCAGGTGATAGTCTACTGCTTCCTTGAAGTGCCGGCTGTTCCATGGAATTGACAGAAGATTTGTTTGCAGTGCTATTATTGCTATATGGAGTTGTGTGTTCTACATCAGGGCTTCTATGTGGAAGAGTGCAATTGGTCATACCCCCCTTCAAGTACCCAGAGTCGGAGCCCCCGATGCCACCCCCCTGAAGAGCACATGAAGTGAGAGCTTGCTTCCCCCCGTTGAGGGGACTGGAACTGTCATGATCAGAATGTGAACTTCTAGTCAGTTTCTTGGCCAATCCATTTACAGGCGCTTGTGGTAGAGCTGTCTGGCCACTTGTATTCATGGTTCTAAGATTTTCTAGAGAAAACTCCAAAACTGGCTGTCTGCCCAACAGCTCAGCTCGGAGTTCATAGGACTGAGACAAGAGGGGATGAGATTTAAGAACTGCCTGCTTGCTGAAGACTCCTTGCAACTTCAAAGACTCCTTCTGGGGAACAGATGTTACATCAGAACAGAGATAAGATGCCACCAGTGGTTGCAGCTTTCCTAAGTCTTCCTTAGGATTATTTCGGAAGTCTAAAGTGGGGTCCTCTGCAGCAATGGCTTTTCTTTTGGTTCCGTTGGCAGCAATAAGGATATTGGCGTTGCCGTTATTTTCGGCACTGCCAGGGGACAAGGTGGAAGATGGGGGAGCCAGTTTGAACCGGATGTGGTGGGCTTCAGCTGCTGCGTCAGTGAGAGCGGGCGCCATCGCAGCCATTCAGCACAGAGAGACAGGAAGTCCAGCCTCTCCCGGTGCCGAGGCCAGCTCCACGGCCCCTTACTGCCTCCGTTGAGAACAGGCTAGAAGAGAAAGAAGCAGAATGTCAGAAACTGAAGCACATTCAAGACAATATGTTTTAATACAAGTACTACTTGAAGCTATTGTCCAAACCACGTCTCCTGCAAAGAAGCTGGAGCCATTCTAGAGATCTGAGTGTCTTTTGTCTGAAAGGATAAGGGAAACACAATCCTTGCACAAGGAAAGAACTCTCCTCTTTTTTGTCACTTGTTAACCGCAGACTCAGAGGTGCCAAAACAGAAGTCCCATTTTGAGATAATCACAGATTAAGGTAAGCCGTCTGCCTTGAAAGGAAAAACTTTTTTAAACTCCTTAAAATTAGTAGACTGACACACTACCACTGGCTAGCATCACTGGTGGTACATGCATGCCTGTTCCACTGGGCAGCTTATACCACTGGTGGCAAAAGGGGTACAGTCATGCATGGGACAGCCATACATGTACCACTGGTGGTTTAAGCTGCTCAGCTGTGAGACATGAATTACAGCTCCATCCTAGACATTAAAAGTAAATATACCAAAAACACCCAATAACAAAAAAATATTAGTAAGAAACTTCACACAAAATATTACATAAAACATCAAAACTCTACACATCTTACCAGCCAGGAATCCAGTTTTCATGAGCTTTTCACTAAAATGCACAAATTTTGCAAAACCAATTTGCTTCATTTTTTTTTTCCTTTTAGATGAGAATGTTCAATGCCTTCTCTACTGGCCCTTTCTTTTCAGCCTAAGAATTCACTCAAGGGACCAGGGAGATAGCTCAATAGAATAAGTGCCTGCCTGGCAAGCGCAAGGGCCCGAGTTCAATCCCCGGTACCAAAAAAAAAAAAAATCACTCAAGCTTTCTCTGTCCCCAGATTAATTGCTCATCATCTCTCTTTCCCTTTACCTCCAAGCCCCTTGAAAGAACAGTATAAAAAGCTGCCTCACTTTTTAAAGAGTGAAAGTCTTTACTCTTTCAACACCTACTGCTCTGGCCAAAGTTACCAGTAAAATTCATTATTAAATTCAAGTCTTCATTCTGATTTCACACAGCGATGGCTACTGGTGACTCTCCTGAAAGTCTCCTTTCCTGACCCTGACACTGTACCTGACCCTTCTCCTGTCTGAGCCTTGAACACTGGTGCTATAAGGATCCTGCCTGCTGCCTCTACTCACTTTCTCAGCAACAACTACCACTATGGTGAGGCCTTACTAACTTAGAAAAACTTGCTGGCCGTGAACTCACTGTGTAGCTCAGGCTGGCCTTGAACTTGTGGAAATCTTGCCTCAGCCTCCCAAGTATTGGGATTACAGGTGTGCAGCACCAAGCCAGGTATTCTTAAAGTGTGGATTCTGGACTTCTGGGGACCTTGAAGACCGATTCTGAAGCCCCATGTTTTCACAGATACACTAAAACATTATTTGCTTTTTTACTATTGACATACATGATGAGGGTATAAAAGTAAAGATCAATGCTACATTAGAACAAATCAAAATAGTGTCACCAAACTGTGCAAGTCAGTTCACTTAACAATGTTTCTTCCCCCTTTCAGTATTAAGGATTAAATCCAAGAACCTCCATCCTCACCACCCTTTTTGTCTTTATGTCACTCAATCACCTAGGCTGGGCCCTGCCCCAATGTCCCCGAGTGCTGCAATTGTAGGCATGTGTCAGCACGCCAGCTAGGATGTTGTTAGATAAGTCAGTAAAAATTAATGTTATTACCTCCTGACCCTTTGAATACCTGTTTTAATATTTTGTGTAGTCAAAGAAAAAGTATGCATGAAGTTCTTTGCTGCTTTATGTAATGGGAGAACTTGCAACACTGAATTGCCAGATGATTTTAGAACCTTTCTTCTTGAAATAGTATTTTTTTTTCACTGACCAACATACTATTATTCCAACTTAAACAGTGGCAGGCATTTTTTTAAAAATGAACAAAGTGAACCTGTCATTTTAAAGAAAACCACTAGCATTTGTTACTAATGATAAATCTGAGTTTTCAAGCAAAAATTAATGCCATATTCTGAAAACCTCTGCCATGAGCTTGATTATTTCTCCAACACTTACTGCTCATTAAACAGATTAGTGGAGGGGCCGGGGAGATGGCTCAATAGAATATGTGCTTGCCTGGCAAGCGCAAAGGCTTGAGTTCAATCCCCGGTTCCACCCAAAAAGAAAAGATTAGTGGTGATATCAGTAAATGTGAACTTCTGATACAATGTATCAATATTTGAAAGGTTTGTATAGTCCAGTAAACGACCAAATAACCAATTCTTGCTAGAAAATAAAGCATGAATAAAACTAAATACAAGAGAGACCAACTGTAATTGAGATTTTAATGTAACAGTATGAAAGGTTGATATAATTTTAGATTCCACTTTTATCTAGTATTCATGGAATAACAACATGTAGAGTTTGGGCGCAATGTAAAAATGTTATGCTTCAGCTCTAAAACGGCCCCAAACCTTTGCTTGTTCGGGACATGAGAGTACACAGCACAAAGGAAGTAAAGCAGGCTTGCCGTTGGGAGGTGAGGGTCTGGTCAGAGAAGACTGGTCACAGGGAAGTGGCCTAGAAGAGTTTACTTCCCTCTCCAGCTACTCCCTTCTTTTTGTGCTCCCTGGATACAGAGGTAAGCAGCTGCTCCTCATCTGCCACACCCCTCTGTCCTGCATTCCTGCCCTGCAGTCAGAGGACTACTGGCTGAAACATGAGACAAATAAATCCCTCCTCCTCTAGGTTGTGGCTGTCGGTATTCTGTTCTGGCCACTGGAAAAGTTACTGAGATACAAAGGATATCTAGAAACACTTATTAAGCACAGGTATCTCAAAAGGCTATTAAAATCTCTCTTTTCCAACTATTTATCTGCTGAGGTAGATTTTCTTTTTTCTCTTGTTTTATGGCGGTAGGGATCAAAGCCAGGGCTTTGTACATTAGTTATACACCCTGCAACAGAGCTACACTCTCAGCCCAAGACCAGATTTTCCTGATGTTTGTTGCTTAAATGATATCACAATAGAATGAATACAGCAAACATGAGAAACCAGATGTTTTCTATGACGTTAAATTATTAAAAGATTTACAAAACTAAATAAAGTGCCTTTCATTTAATTCTTGCTTTGGCTATGGCTCAAAGTTTTTTTTACAAGGGGCTTCTTATTTTAAAATTAAGTAGTCACTAGTTATCTTTACAATTTCTCAGCGTTTCTAATAAAGCAAATATGTATGTATAGATAATAACCCACAAAAGCTCTGTGGTTCTCATCCATTTTTAGGCGTAAGAAGTCCTGTGTTTGTGAATCACTAACTATGCAAGCCTTCTCTCTCCTTGTCAGAAAGAGTGATCTCTAACGTAGATCAACGTTTTAATTTTAGAGCAGCACTGATACAGGTCGGCAGGCCTTACGGCATTACACTAACTCCTTATGGCAACAGAGACCGAGAAAACATCTGTAGAAGCACTATATACATACTATTAAAATCTGCCCTAATGGTATTCTGTATGATACAACCTGGTCTGTATTCACTCTCTCATTTCTTTTTTTTTTTTTTTTTTGGTGGAACTGGGGATTGAACTCAGGCCCTTGCGCTTGCCAGACAAGCGCTTATTCTACCAAGCTATCTTCCCAGCCCCTAGAAGGAATTTTTTGTGTGTGTGTGTGTGTTTTGCTCCTTGAATGCCTTCAGGGCACTTTTGCATGGCTGGAGTGTTGTGGGGATCGAACTACAGCAAACTGAGGCTGCCAGCATTGTGGAAGCAGCCACTTAAAGAACTGAGCTAGGGCTGGGTCCCTACTCTCTCATTTCTATTTTAAATTTAATATTGGGCTGGGGAGGTAGCTCAGCAGTCTAAGCACATGCTTGGCTGGCCAAGCTGGCCCGGAACCATGCTAGCCACTGAAACTGGGCATGGTGGTGCACACCTGTAATCCCAGCAAAGAGGAGGCTGAGACAAGAGGATCACTTCAAGTTCGAGCTGCATAGCAAGACCTTGTACCAAATAGATAAATAATAAATAATTTTTTAAAAATACTCTTACATGGGCCCGGGATATAGCTCAGTGGCATAAGCGCCTGCCTGGCAAGCACAAGGTCCCAAGTTCAATCCCCAGTATCAAAGGAAAAGAAAAAAAGAAAAGAAACAGAAAAATACTCTTACATTTAATATTAATTCCTAATAGAGTAACTGTTGTTGTGAGCCATCTGACAGCTAAACCGAATATGTTACTTGTTCAAAATATTTCAAGTCAGTTTCATAATATGCAAAGTGTTTTCCCATAAAGAAAAGTTACTATCAGATCCATAAAGCCAACTCCTCATTGGAATATCAATACCAGGTTGATAGTATGAGAAGGCAGTAAGACACATCAATGATACACAATTACTACAACATGTAGAAAAATTACTATACTGACAAGAAGCACAAAGCACTATCATAAGACTCCTTCTAGAGACCCAGGCACAGAAAGAGGTTACAAACAGGAAAACCCAGACTCACTCAGCACAAATAAAAAGGTTCCTAATTAAGAGCACACCATAGGAGAGACCTAAGTAGTAAACATCCAAAGTTATTCTATAATGAAATTCTTTTTTTTTTTTTTTTTTTTTTTTGAGACAGGGTCTCACTGTGCAGTTCAGACTGGCCTTGAGCTAGCAATGATTCTCCTGACTCAGCCTCCCAAGTGATAGGATTACAGGCGTACACTACCACACCCAGGTAATAAAATTCTTTGAAGTTCTCACTTTACACAAAAATAAACTGGCTCAAATCTCTTCCAGCAAGCTGCAACTACAGCTTTCTCCAATTGTCTATGAAATTGGCAACAATCATCTCAAAGACAAAAGTTTACTTATATTTCTTCTTGGTCTTAATATCCGCAGAGCATGCACCATGAAGTAACCTCTTAGTGAAAGAAAAGAGGTGACCACATACTCAGAAGAAATTCCCAAAGAAATACTTATTGTTTAAAAAAATGTAAAGCTGATTAGGGTGGCACATACCTGCAACGCC